GTGTTCTCTCGTTCGGTCTGTACACACGAGCGAGAGCTCTCGATCCGCGAGAAACGAGGAAGAAAATGAAAGGGGCGGGATAGTGGGTGGAATTTATTGCAATCCCGGGGATGAGGATCTCGCAACGACGCGGCGAAGGAAGGGTGGGAAAAAAAACAAGGGACAGAGTGGCGAAACGACGAAGAACGCCGTGACGACGGACGCTTCGAGAGTTAAAAAGTGGCCGGCGTTGCCTCCGAGCTCTGGAGGGAAGACGCGATCGAGCTAATTAATACTATCTCGAAAGAATGGTACACACCGGTGCACACCCGGGCTTGGCAGAGAAGAGCCACCGGATAAGGGGAGGGGAAATTTATCGTGGCGCGCGATAAAATCCTGCGAGAACGCCCGAAGAATAAACTTCGCCGGCGAGGAGGCGAGCTAAGAGCTATGATTAAACTAATGAAGACAGTAAACGAGCGATACAAACAACAAAGAAAATGCCGGAATTTTTCCGAGGACGTTACCCCGCCATCGTCGAAACGGGACTACTTCCGTCTGAGGTCAAGCTTGAAGACAATGGTCCCACGTACGAAAAAATTAGGCGAATAAAGGAGTTTTCTCTTCCCTTGTAATTCACCGTGGAGCAACTCGTACGCACCCTTGCGCAAAAGTCTCGTATATATTTGTTTTCAAATTGGAAAAATGTACATAATGTACTATATGTAATAATATTGTATAAAATATATTGTTATAATACTATATTAATTTTCGAAAAGTATCACTGAGTTTATAGATGATGATAGCAATTTAAAGTAGATTGCCAAGAATTCACCTCATACTTTTTATTTTCCGCGAAAGAAATTAGTGATGAAATGAAATTAAATTGAAAATTTCGAAATTAAATAATTTAATATAATGTATTGTTATAATCTCTAATATCCAATGATACTAATTAAGTATTAAATAATAAATAAATATAGTATTTAAATATGTTAAATATACCATAATAATAATAATTTGTATTATAAAATGCACGTGAAGCTCAAAGATTTCATTATCTACTGAAACCACATTAAACACTGAAACATTAGAGATTCAACAACATAATAAAAACATAGCTTATAAGTATACCGCGCATTTTTATGTATAATATTTACGAAGTTTAATGCAAAAATATACAGGACGCGTATAAAATACAAAAGCGTATAAAATGTATCAAAAGTAGAACATTTCCTTTATGATCTTTAATACATAAAACGAATCTTTATTGCACAAAATTTGCATAAAAATTCGCTCTCGTATACCGCCTGTAGTCGAGATTAGTAGCCATGAAGATTGTGATCTAGCATGATGTCAAAGTTGAGCAGCTAACCAGATCTTAACATATAACCACCATAACTATAATCTATTTTGGAAAAAACAGTTATCTAGCTCCTCTAAAAACATTCAAAGAATCCACTATCTATTAAAAATCATAAAGAGTGCTTCTGGTATTTCCTATACTTTTACACGTTACATGTGGTTCCGTACATATTCAAATGTTTGAACTTTATGTAAATGCATCAAACTCTGATTATAAATAATATCTTCGTTATTTAACCAACAGAGACAGTGATCATGACCAATGAAATAAAATTCGTTTAAATTCAAAATTCTAGGACTAATTTCGAGTAATTTATCTCTGAACATTTCGTGACTTTTAACGGCACCAATTAAAAATTTTCAAATAAAATACCAACTCCCAAGGCTTTCGAGCAAGAACGTACGTGGCGAGTATTTTGGATTAAAATAATCCGTTGACATCGAGACGGTCGTATATCACTGAAGCAAAGGAGCTTCGTGGTCAAGAGGGGGAGCGAAGAAACAGGAGCTCGCGAATCCGAGCTCGAGAAAGGACGAAAATATTTCGTATCGGAAACGCGGACAGGTTGCCTTCACAGTGTGGTGAAAACGTAAGACGAGAGAGAGAAAGAGAGCGCCTTAAGCTGGTATCTGGTTGATGAAATTCTACGAGGGTGGAGCCTACAATCGCGATAAAACGTATCTAAGCCTTTCATCGTATTCTCTCTTTACGAGAAAAAATCGTAAAAAGCCCGACAACGAGATACCCGCAGGCCCTGTCATCCATTATCGGAGAGAATCGTTCGCTATTATTAACTTCATCCTCGCATGAACGTTCGCCGTGTATCGAGCTTTTCCTCTGCTTTCGATAATTCTACCTGAGTCACGATCTGTTCGTTTTTTCCTTCTTTTTCTTTTTCGGCGTTGTTAATAATACATAACTGCTCCGATCGACGTCTGATTGCAGATCCACCGATCGTGTCGCTGAACCTTGGATCGACGCTGAGTCCGGAGGACATCAAGGAAGGTGACGACGTCTATTTCGAGTGTCACATCAGGGCCAATCCTCCCTGGTCGAAATTGACATGGATACACGACGTGCGTATGATTGATCATCAATGCAATCGACAGGCTGCGGATGTTTATGCAATTTCATATATTTGCGAGGGCAATTGAGGAAATTGTGGCCTAGAAATTAGCTTGCTTTATTGGATAATTCGACAGATATTCTATATTTTCACAGTATCGAGCGCATTTTGCTGCATCGAACATTGAATAATCTCGTTACTGCTAAACAGATGATTTCGAGAATCATTTTATTTCGCATTTTATTTTGCATAAAAATCCGCAGTCCAATGATCGACAGAGCTATTACGTTTCCTTTTTGCAAAACGAAAACAACACGACGCGTACATTTTTACACGACGAGAAACATTATAATTACAATTCGTATGATCGTGCATGCTACATCAGACGTAGTCGTATAATTTTCTTCTCCTCCTTTCTTTATTTTTTTTTTCTTTTTTTATCAACAAAGTTGCATTTCAGTCTTTGGAACAGTTCGTGCTCCGCGTGCTACACTATTACGGCGCTGTTAAAAGTCCGGGTATATCTCGTAAAGTAGAAACATCCCGCAGCGCAGCGTAGCGGTAGGAAAAATCCTCGTACACTTAGCGGACCACAATAGAAGACAAAATCTCCGGTGGACAAAAAGGCGTGCGGGCGTGCGTCCCTAAATTTACAAGCGAGCAACGTTACAGGTAATTTACGCGACAACGTCCGCCGCGAGCGTAAAGAGGCTCTCCGCGCTCGCGCGAGGGCACGTTGCACCCTCTCTCGCAGCAGCCCCAGCCACGTCTTATCCCATATAATGGCTCGTATATTCTGCCCTGGGTAAAACTTTGAATCCTTTATTTGCATAATATATGAGATCGTTCGACAGGCTCGATTTAGTACAACGCCGTTAGAACGCGCGAGAGTGGAAGAGCGGGAGAACCTGAAGCACCGTGGCCACGGCGAGAGACGCGAAACACGGCACGGTGAAAGCCGATCATCTCGCGGATTTATGGCGAGAAGCGATAAAAGACTTTCAACGTTCTCCTTCTTGCCCTCCTTTGGCCGTTATAGGCGAAATTACATTTGTTACCCTGAACAAGGTAGGGCAAGTTTCTACGTTTTTCTTTCTTTCTCAAAGCGTCGCCGTCGCGTCGCTGCATTAATTCAAAAGGGAACGAGCTTAGCGAAGAATAGAATTTCACCGTTACTCGTTGTCTTTGTTACAACGTTCTGCAAGGCTCTCGGTAATTTTTACCGAAGCGGAGGGAACGCGGCGCTCAAAGAGTAATCGTGGAAACGTGATTTTTTTCCATTGTTTCTTCTCCTCGCTCAAAGACGACTCTCTCGCGACCGTTGCCGTTGAGACGTTTCGCGCCGATACCAGGCGACGAGACGTCGTTGAGGATTTTTTTTTTTCATAAACATTGGACAATAAGTTCGTCTGTACTCGGCGTATACATTTCAGAGAATAACACGAAACAAAGGTGAAATTTTTCTTTGGTATTTGAACTTTTGTGAGAGATAAAATATCTGTCTCTTATTATCACACTATTTGTTATATTTATTATCATACATTATATATAGATAATTTATTATATTACATACACGAATTTTATATAAAAGACTTATATACAACACTTGATTGAACTTGTTACTCGAGCTAATCAAATTAATTCCTAACTGATATCATCAAACTTCATAAACTAGACTTCGCGTTAATTGATTTCGGAATTTTTTTATTTGATTAAATTTCATTGCTAAAGTCTGTATCAGAGAGAGTACAAAATACCAAGTGAAACTATGACCCGGTGACACTGCTTGAGAATTAAAAATGTAAGCTCGCGACGAAATCTCGACGACAAAATCCGTGTTGGAGAGACACGGAGATTTATATGAGACAGTTTACAAGAGACACGACTTGTAGCAGCAGCTAAGCGGCTAGTTTGCGTCTGACGAAACAGACACTCGTACTACTTGCCCGCGAACGATACGCTTGCTGCTCGGCGGTAAAACGGGTAACATTGTTTTATACAGCTCAATTCGGACCAGTGGTTTCAAGTAATTTAGACAGCCAGATATAAAAGCAAAACACGGCGGAAAATTAACGAAAACTATCCGCGTGAATGGCGAGAAAAATTGAACGAATTTTCCACAATCGTTTCATTTGAGAATACAGATTATTTCCCTGCGTGAACGAACGAAACTGTCAGATTATGTTGCATGAAAGTTTCAATATCTGTGATAATATTAATGTAATTATCAATATAAATCGATTTACCAAATTCAATGTACTAGATCGTTGCTTAAAAATTTCAACATCTGTACCTTCTTTGAATGTATTAATCACATCAATCAATATTAATAAATCTATTCGCCAAATTCAATATATCTTGACCATTGTGAAATAATTTTATAATTATTACAATTGAAGTCTGCAGTCGATCATTGTTCACATTAATTACTTGATTTATCTTTCACACTTGTATAACCAATCTAGGTTATCTCTTCTTCTCAGACACTTGTATTAACATCACG